GCTGGCCTACAGCAGCTCCCAGCAGCCCCCGGACCCTGCACACAGGACAAAGCTCTGAGGCAGCTCCCAGGCAGTGGTACTCACACTTCCTCGTCAGACATGGTGAGGGTGGAGTGTTTCTGGGGAGAGAAAGTGAGAGAGTTAGGAGGTTTTTGCAAGGGGAAGGTGGCTCAGAGCAGGGGTTGAGAGGGGACATCACAGATAGGACTTGTCCAACCCTTGGTCCTTGGCTTCATGCACATGGGGCCCCTCATCAGCTCCCTTCCAGCCTCCTCCCCCAAGATTCTGATCCTTTTCCTTCCTGCTGGGGCTTCAGCCTGGAGCTCAGAATCTCCCCTACGCAGTCTCCTTACAGAGTCTTCAAGGAGAGCCCTTGAGGTTCAAGTGTTGTCCAGGCCAGACAGGACTCTACAGACTTCTCTGCATGCTCGGGAGACTTGCAGGTCTGAGATACAGCCTGTCTCTTGGTGGCCTCTGGTTAGGTTGGGGGGCCTCACTGGGTGCCCAAGACAACCAAGGCCAGCTCCCCAAAATGGGCAGTACAGACCCGGTCTGTCCACCAACTGTCCCCCTTCTTTGTGTGAGCCCAAAGCACCCTGCAGTGCCCCATGGCTTCCACCACCAGGCTCCCTTGAAGATGTCCAGAGCTTCTTTTGTGTTCCTTACAACCTTCTGAGGATGTCTTCTCCAAAAGAAGTGTGTGAGTGAACTGTCTGCCTGATTCCCTCCTCCCCATCAGACATGGAGGCCAAGCCCCAGAGCTGCATCAGGGCTGTGGTCAGAGGTGCTTTTTGGCAGGTGCCCCAGCCTGGCACTCTTGTGCTGCAGGACTGTTTTCCCAGGCCCATGATGCTCTTGATCTTGTCAGTGTCTGTGGGAAAGTGCCAGGCCTGGGACTGGCCACACCTGTCCAAGTGTGGCTGTTGGGGGACCAGGGAGTTCGGGACTGTCCTCAGGGAGCTGCCCCCCCCCCCGACATACCCATGGCCGTGGTGGCCTGGGTGCTCTCTGAGCAACAGCTTTGGGTTTAAAAAGCAAAGTTCATGAAAACATATTACATACTTGAAGACACTGGTTATGGCCTCCCTCCCAGGAACTTATATAAGAAAACACCCGTTCATCAGCTAAAAAATGTGTTTTGTTTGTTTTTTTGGTACGGGGGATTGAACTTGGGTCCTTCTTCTTGCGCAGCGGGTGGTGAAACCACTGAGCTAAATCCCCGGCCTTAAAAATGTGTTTGTTGCACAAAGCTAAGGTGGGAACTAATTCTAAGCTCTCTGTCCATAATGTTTCTTTTTTTTGAGCAAGTTAATCTTCATGCAAAATTAACCATCAGACATTTGTGAAGCTCATGTCCAGGCAAAGGTGGGGCTTGCCTCACCCCAGAACCCTGCCTAGGACTCCATTGCCCATCAGTGGACAGCCTCTAGCATATCTGCAGCTGGACTGGGGCTCATCATTCCTCCACCCAATGGCCAAGGTTGCCTACTCTCTGGTCCTCCGACCCCCTCTGCTCCCTACCAGCTCCCAGCTCCCGGTCTTTCTTGGGTTCTGCCCTCTCAGTGGGTCCAAAACCCAACCCCTCTGTCTACTCCCAGGCCACTCTGTAGGGCAGGGAGATTAGTGAGGGCTGTGGAGCCAAGGGCCCTGTCCGCTGCCTCCACCTCGACCCCAGCAGGGCCAACACCTGTCAACCACCGAGGGGGAGAGATGGCCCATGACTGAGGAGGGGCTATTTATAAGAAGCCTGTGGCAGCTGAGGTGTCCAGAAATAGGCACCCAAATCAGCAAGACTCCTCCACTCAGAAACCCAAGACGGTGTATGGGGGTGGGGGAAGAACAGCCCAGACCTTTCTCTCTGCTCCCATCTCCTGAGGGCACCCAGTGAGTGAAACTGCACCCTTCAAGGTGGGGCAGCAAGGGCTCCTTCCCAGGTGGGGAAACTGAAGCTCCTGCTCCTCTGAAGAGTGCTTGGAGACACAAACACACACACACACACACACACACACACACACACCCCGGACTGATTTGCACCCCTCCCCCTCTGTGTGGTCTCTGTCACTGTCCTGGAGGGGGGGTGCGCTGGGGCAGGTTATGGCATTTCAACAGCTGAGGAGGAAAACAGTTGTCCCCTTAATGCTCTGCCACCAGAGGCATTGCATGTAAATAGCCCATGAGGCTGGGTTCTTTGGGGACATGTGCCATCCTTCCCTTCTTTGAAGGGACAAGGAGTGAGGGTATAGGAGGCCCTGCCACTCACCTGATGGGGGGCTCTGACCATGCTCACTCCCCTCTGGTCAGCCTCACCTGGCCCTGTCCCCCCCCCCGGAATGCCCAAGGACCTCTGGACAGCATGCGGGACCTGATAGATGATAGAGTCTGGCCAGCGACTTCAGGAGTCCTCTCAGAGCTACCTGCTCCTCTAGCCACAGGCAAGGTGGGACATGGCCTTTCTGGGCAGGAACAACTCCCTCCTCCCTGCCCTGCCCTACCCCAGCCCCTCTGTCTACTCCCCCCAGGCTTGCTTGGGGTCTAGACATTTCTCCCTATGGATTTCTCTCTGGGATGACCTGTGACATGTACCCCTTTCCATCATCTATAAAAGGACAATGTCAGAAGCAATGCCCAGGAACCCTCAATGTGACGGAGACAGCTGTGTTGTAGCAGGCAGCCCCTGGGCAGCCCTTGAAGCCCTGGGCAGCGCCCCTTTTGTGCGGTCTAGTTTCATAATCTTACCTCTCCAACATAGAGCTCTAACCCCTTACCCCAAACTTCCCAGCACCCTACTCCACACCCTTGTGTTCTAGTTTAGACTCAGGTCTTCTGTCCTATCCTGAGGCTAGGGGAACATGGAAACATGATGTCAGAATCGCTCACCAGTTCCCAGGGGCCACCTGGCTTCTCCAGCCACTATGCTTCCCATCCGAGTGTCAGGCAACCTGTCAGCCAGGGACCTTGGCCCCCAGGCCCAATAGTCCCACCTTGGGTACAGAGTACCCAGCTCTGATGCAGGAGGCCTTGGGGGTGGCTCGCTCCCATACCCACCTGCTGCTGAGTCTGAGAAGGGCTGGAGCTCCCTGTGGACAGGACCAGCTGCAGGCACTGCCCGGTCGGCCTCACACCCTCATGTTATAGCGACATTTGATCTTTCCCAGCAGCCCATTGGACAGTGGCTGGGTGGCTGGGGAGGGGGGCAGGGTATGCCCAGTGAGGCCCCTGACCAAGTATAGGAATGGCCCGAGGAAGCGACCGAAGGAGGCAAGGATGGAGGAGACGTGCCTAGAGGAGTCAAGGTCTCCGCCTCCCCCAGGAAGGTGTCAGCTGCTATTTTTACTGCCCAGTAGTAGGCCTGCTCTTGAAGGACTCAGGAGGGGAGGAGGAAGGTGGCAGGTGGCCTTGGGATGGGGCTCAGGGTTCTCCTTGGGCCAAGCTGGTGTTGGGGTTCTCAGAGCCGGGGTCACAGGTCTTCAGCCCCTGCTCCTCTGCCCAAGGTGTGCTTTGGGAGTGGACACCTCACCCAGGGCAAGATCTCCACTTAGAACTTTGCCCAGGCCCACTCCATATCTCTCCATTAGAGAAGCAGCCCAAGACCTCCAGGGGGTAGAAGACTTTGAGTTCTCAGTCCCAACACTCTGGGGGTCTTGGAGGCCAGGCCTATTTCTCCAAGTGAGACTACTGGGATACCCAGATAAAAGGGTACAAGAAATAGTGACCTAAATCCACTGGCTCCTGCTATGGTATTTCCCCCAGTAGCTGGTGCCTCCCAAGGCCAGGGGACATATCTCTGCCCTCAGCTCCTGACTGGGGGTCCAGAAGCTGGAGGCCCCTCTCCTTCCAGGGGCCAGGGCAACGTTTGGGCTCTGAGTAGCCAGTCGTGTGCCTGTGGAGCTGGCCCTTCTTCCCTCAGGACTCCAGGGGGCACCATCCAACCAACAGATGCCTCTTGTGGGGCTCTGATGGCCCCGTGCTTGCCAGGGAGATACATACCTGGATGGCCCTGGCTCTTGGATTAGGGAAACTGAGGCAGGGAGGGGGAGCAACTCAGTACCTTGACTCCATTGCCCACTCCTCCCAGACACCATGGGCTGGGCATGTCGTGGGGTCCATGGAGCTGCCCAGTCCAGAGCTGAGCAGTGCCCAGGACAAGGGGAGCCCCAGGAGATGCAGACAAGTCCCTGCCCTCCAGAGTTCTAGGGTTGGGGCATCAAGATGACCTGGTACAAGACTCACAATGTCCCAGCTGCAGCTCCACCTTGCTCTGTTCCCCAGATCTGGATCTCAAGCCTTCTGGAAGGCTGTGGTTGATACTTTACCCAGTTCCTACAAAGCTGGAGATGAGGCCTTGAAGGCTAGAGACAGGCAGGGATGTGCTTGTGGGCACAAGGCAAGGAGAGTTAGTGCCCCAGGTTGCTGACTTGAAAGACAGGGGCCCTCCCCTTCCCACTACCCGCAAGCATCCAACTGCTGGGGTCATCCCTGTTCTCCAGGTCAGAACCTATACCTCCCGCTCCACCTGTCTATGTCCTCAGACACAGCCCAGACCCCTGGTCACTACTGACCAGCTCTCTGGCTGGAACTCCTGCAGAGATCCTGAGCTGGTGCTCCAGCAGGCCCCAGCCTCTCCCATGGTGAGGCTGATGCCCCCTCTCAGCCTGGTTCCCCAGACTCTGCTAATAGAGGTCTGAGCACACCCTACCCTCTTCCCCATTGCAGATGCCCATGTGGTGAGCAGGACATAGGGAGAACTTGGTTCCATCTACAGGCTTTGCTGGAGCTTAGCGTGGGAAGCCCCTGTCCACTCACTTTGCCTAGGTAGCGTGGGGGACCTTTAGAGACCACACTTCCAAGTGGGCATGCCACAGTCTCTGCAGTGGCCCTGCTTGGCCAGCAGGGGAGGGTGGCTGCCCACTTAGCAAGCCTCAGCCTTTGGCAGGTGCTGTCCCGTGAGGTCAGGGGGATAAAGCTGGTCTTATTTTGGGTAACAGCTACCTCCTCCTCAGGGCGTCGGGCCCAAGGTACAGCCAGACAACAGAGAAGACACTGCTAGGCAGGCTGCTGCTGGCTACTGCGGTCCTGTGACAGGTAATCCACAGCGGGTCCCACCTGGTCTGGCTGGGGCTGTGTAAGGGGAGAGGAAAGAGGGCAGAAGCCTCCTCTGAGAAGCAGGACAAAGGGGCTAGAGATCCTGGTGAAGCCAGGGACAAGGAGCAGCTCAGTCCAGTTGGGTAGGGGACAGATTTCCTCGCAGGAGGAGATAGGAGACCTACTAGTGCCAGTCCTAGGGTAGGGGTGGGAGGCTTCAAAGTTGGTGAATACTGAGCTAAGCCCAAGGTGGGGATGAGCCCATGGGAGGGGGCCAGCTTCCCCGGTGTCTCATTTCCAGTGGCCTGTGTGGGTGACCCTTCAATCTGGGTCACAGGCCCCAGCACCTATGGCTGGGAGAGGAGGAGCCTACCAACCCTGAGCCTTGCCTGGTGCCCTGAGATGACCCACTGCAGGCTGGCTCTGCCAGGCCCAGGATAGGAGTAGCTAAAATGGCACTTGGGACTATGCCACTCCAACCATGGTGGCTGCTGCCCCCATGCCTGTGTGTACCCAGTGGTTTTGTAGACTCATGGATTGGCTCTGCAGATACAAAGGGGCGTCTCCTGTGTGCAGAACTGTAGTAGTAGGAGTAGGAGCAGTAGGCCATCGGGGGCCCCTTAGGCAGGCAGAATGAGGAAGGGGTAATGCTCTAGCATCCCTGACCAGGTGCTTTCTGGAGGGTGACTACTTTGAGCCCCTTAACTTTGACAATGGCAGGCCTGCCCTCCTGGTTTAGGCCAGCAGGTGTGGGTGTGGCTCAACACTCTGTGAACTCTGTGCCTGCAATCCAAGCAAGGTGTGAGAGAGGTGCTTGATCTTCATCCCTGAGGCTGAGCCAATGGGGATCCAGCCCATTGATTCTTAGTGCTCTTCACTCTGGTCCTGTGCTGGTGTCCAGCTCCTTGCCCCACTGTTGACTTTGGGGTGGCCTTTTTCCTGCTCTCCTTGGTCACCATCCCCTAAAGACTGAGCATGAAAGGAAAGGAACATCTGTTACCTGGAAAGTGCTCTTTCCTTGGTGGAGGGTAGCCCTTGATACTTCCTCAGTGGTAGGACTGTGGGCCAGAGGGATGGGGTTGGCATGCCACTCCCCTTGCTTTGGCAGATGTATTCTGTTGAACTTTTGCCTTCCTGAGCTGTCCATTTTTGTGAGGCAGATGAAGTTTGACTAAGAGCCTCAGAAAGTAGAAGCTCTGAATGGCTAAGTAAATGACAATGTCAAGCTTAGACCATCAGTGTTTGAGGGGCCCCCTAGACACTGAAGGTAACAGACTTTGTGTCAAGCCCAAGGGTAGTCCCAGGGAGAGAAAGGGGTGCTAGCATGGACAGCCCCTACCCTGCCTCCCATTTATACTTTTGTCCACCCTCCCTTTCACTCATTCTTAAGCATTATTCTTATACTCATCACTTTTCTTCCTTACTTCCATTGCTCCTTCCTCCTTTCTTCCTTTCCTCCGTCATCTATCTACCCATTTGCCACTTATCCATTCATATGACTCTCCATTTGTTCACACATGTATCCATCCATTCATCCACATATTCCTCCACCATCACCCATTCCTCCATCATTATCTATTCATCCACCCATCCATTAACTCACTCATTCATTTCTGTCCATCCATCCATCCATCCATCCATCTGTTCATTCATCCATCCATCAATCCATTCATCTATCCATCCATCCACCTACCCATTCCCATCATTCATCCATCGACCATCCACTTATCTGTCCAACCATCCATTAATCCACCCACCCATCAGTCATCTATCCTACCACCATCCATCCACCCACCCATTCAGACTTATGCCCGTTCATTCACCTATGTCCAGCATGGGCTCGGGTGTCCTTCATATCTGGTGGGGTGACCAGCTCTCTATACAGGCTGGGCCTCAGTCTCTCCTTCCTAAGGGGTTCTTTGCTACTCTAGGAAGTGGTCCCTTTAGCCAAGGTCAGGATTCTTCTTCTTCCTCCCCCAACTGTGAGAAGCAGAGTTGGGGGATCATGAGGACTGCCCTGTGATAGATTTTTTCCCCTCAGTGAGTGCACAGACACACAAATCCACTGGTCCCAGTGTTGAGGTTTATATGGGCCAGGCAAGGTAGAGGTGTTACAGATATCCTGGAAGAGGAATGTGGGGTCCCAGCCATTGTGGGTACCCTAATTTAGGCCATCTTACATCTCAGATCCTGGAGTCTAATGTTCCTTAAGTCCCCTGAATTTGAGGCCAGCATGAACTATGCAGTGTGTGGGCTGTCCTACTGATACAGCTTTTCTGTCCTGGCCAGTCACACTCCTTCATCCCTCCTCTGTTAGAGAGCACAGGAGGCCAGCACACAAACGACTCTTGAGAAATTTTATTGCACAAAATGGGGGGAGGTCTGTAGGGAGGGAACAAGAAAGATACAGAATCCTGAGCATCCAGTATGGCTTCAGGTGTCCCTAGGTCTGGTGAGGTGACCAGCCCTCTGCACAGGCTGGATCTCAGTCTCTAGCCTTCCTTAGGGTCTCTTGGCTGCTCTAAGAAGTGTCCTTTTAGCCAAGGTCAGGAGTCTTCTTCCTTCCCCAACTGTGAGAGGCAGAGCTGGGAGGCCAGAGTAGAAGAGTATAGAGGTTAGAAGGTCCAGGAGCAAAAGGAGGTGGTGGAGATTGCAGGGGCATGGGGGGAGCAGTTGGCACGAGCAGGCCATGCTGGTAATCAGAAGCAACTTCTTAGCCAGGGCTGGAGGTGGCAGTGGTGTCTGGCTGACGTCTCCCCTGGAGGAGTGGAGGGTGCCGCTAGCCTGCACCTGTCAAATACAGGTATGGGGCATGAGGAACATTAGCCTGGGGCCTGAGAAGGAGCTGTAGCCATGCCTCCTGAAGGGCTCTGTTCTCTGCTCCCTCCATACCCCTAGTCCACTAGTGGCCACCTGGCCCTGAACACACCCCCTTCCTACAACCAGAAGTGCACTGTCTGTTTCCATCTGGAGACCAGCTCCCTGGGTGAACTCTGGTGCTGCAAGTCAGGGTTCTGCCCGGGACCATCTCAAGGTAGAGGGAATGCTACCCACCCACCCTGGCAGACCCCCAGAATGAGACCTGGGGTTCCCTCAGTTCTCCAGTCCTACAGCTAGCAGTTGGGAGTGAGGAAACAGACCCCTTCTGGCCCCTCCCCAGTAGAAGGCTCCTGCCTCGTCAGAGCCAGCCCCCATGGTGGCAGCCCCAGGCCTTCCTCCTCTCCAAACCAGACAACCTTTGGCTCATCCCAGATGCCATTTGTCAATGTCCTTGCAAACATGTGGCGCCCAGAAACCAAGGCGGGTGGCTTGGCCAGGACCACCCTGGGCAGGAGGTCTGCGGGAATATCCCATTTAGCATAGCTCAGCGAAAATTGCTCCCACCTTCCGACCAATCTACCTCTGATGATGCAGCCTCAGCTTTCCCAAGCCTTTTGGCCGCCGCTTCTTACCACTGGCTTGCAGCAGACCCACGCACTTGTGGTTGGGCCGGCGACAGAATGGCGCCCCTCATGTGTCTGCGGGCAGCCTGCTCTTCCTGCCCTTGGCCAGAGTCGGTAACTGGCCAGGCTCAAGCCTCTCACTTGGAGCTCGCCTGTTGGTCTCCCATCCCCCATCCTTCATGGCACCATGGCCTGCCCCAGCTTGTGTGCATGAGAGGTTGGCATTGTGCTGGGCATGGACAAAGGCAGGTTCCAGCCCTTAGCACTTGCCACATGGCTGTACCTCTTGGGGCTTACTTCTATAACAGGACTTGGTGGCCCTGCCCACAGCCACTGATATCCAAGCTTGGAAGGCACTGGTAGATTCTGGATCTCAGGCAGAGAGTATCTGGTGGTTGAGATGCCACACCTCTGGCCTCCTGGATAGCAGAAGACCACATGTCCACACCACCAGGAGGGAGAAGGGCTGACCTGACTGTGTCCTTTCCACTCCAGGGTGCAGTGATGCTCATCTCCACTGCCTCAGTGCCTCTGGGGGCTGGTGGCCTGAGCCCCCAGGGAACCCCTGGCCCCCCTCCACCCCTGCTGCCCAAACCGGGAAAAGACAACCTGCGTCTGCAGAAGCTTCTGAGGAAGGCAGCTCAGAAGAAGATGGCAGGGGCTGCCCCTGCCCCACCTGGGGTCTTCCGCGCCTCCCTGTCCCCTGTGAGTGAAGCCAGCCATGACCTGGAGCCCATGGCCCCACATCCTGCTGAGGCCTTGCATCCTGCTGAGGCTCCACACACTGTGGCACCTCTGCCCCGCTCCCCACACACCCTAGTCATCCACCATGTGGCCTCACCCCAACAGAGATCCACGTTCTCCTTCAGCATCACTCAGCACCAGGCTCTGGCTACACACTTCAAGGCCTCTTCAAGGCTTGAAGCCCTAGCTCCAGAGCCTGCCCAGCCCCCCAGTGGCTTTGCATCTGTCTTGGCCCCCACAACAAGGGGCACCCATGTCACTCAAGTGCACATCCGGCTGGCACCGTCCCCAAGTGCAGGAACCCCTGATCCCTCCAGGACAGCCTTGAATGGGAGCCCCAGCAGCCAGGATGAAGACCTAGCCCCAGGTCTCTCCAGTATCCAGCCTCTGATCCCGGTGGCCCACATCCGCCCATTGCCTGCTGGGGCCCAGGCTGTCAGTCCTAGGCCTGAGGAGCCTCCTGTAGTGAGGCCACCATCCAGCTTCCAGGCCTCAGTGTCCAGAGAGGCTGGGACCAGGGTGGTGGTGCCCATCGCCCCCACCTATCGCTCACCTGGACCCTTACCATACAGCCCAGTCCGTGTAGCACCTGAGGCTGAGCGCTTGGAGCATCTGCCTATAGCCAGGCCTGCACTGGAGGTCGAGCAGGGCCCATCATCTCTGGCCCTAGCATCAGAGCCCCACCCAAGCCCTGCCCCTAAAGTTGCACCCAAGCCCCGGCTCAGTGGCTGGACACGCCTCAAAAAGCAGCTAATGGAAGGAGCAGAGGAGTCCCATTTCCCAGGGCCGGAGCCCAGCCTGGAGGCTGTTCAGCAGGAGACACCCACTGCACCCAGCTCCGGGCCCCCTGCCTCCCGGGCCTCCAGGATGTGGGATGCTGTGCTGTACCGCATGTCAGTGGCCAAGTCTCAAAGCTACCCAGCAGGGCCCAAAGATGGGGAGCATTCCCGGTCTGGTGTCACCCATCTGCCCTTCTTGTATCGTCCTCGCTTCAATGCCCGAAAACTGCAGGAGGTCACACGGACCCCTCCCACACTCCAACCCATTGTAGTGCTGAACCCCCAGCCCAAGAACTTCAACCGGACAGCAGCAGGCTGGAGGCTCTGGTGAAGTGTCAAGACCACAGGGTGGACATAAGATGGCTGAGCTCTAGAGTGGTGGCCACAGCCATTGTAGAAGGAAGTACAATGGGGTGCGGGGTGGGGGAGGCAGGTGGCTGAAGTGTGTGGGGGCAGCCTGGGAAGGGTGCATCCTGGTGCCCAGAAGAACCTGGTGGAAGGCAACAGGTCAGGAAGGACAAGTCAGAGAGGTGAACAAAGCAGGGAGCATGGGGAGGGGAGGCCAGGGTCTCAGTGGTGTCAGGGAATGAGTCTGATCAGGGTAGTGTGGGAGCTTGAAGGGTAAGACTTTTGGGAGGGAAAATAAGCAAGTGTGTAATGAGGCAGGAAGCTGGATTCACTGACCTTGCCAGGCAGGGCCAACCTGAGCCTCCCCAAGGGCAGGCCCAGCAGAATCCTCCCCATACTATTAAAGCCTGAGGGACAGATTTCCTTCTGTGTGAGGTCAGAACTGCCACCAGCACCAATAGCTGGTCGGCATTTGGGTGCCTGTGAAAGGCTTAAGGGGCGGTGGGAGCCAGACCCCAGGCCAGGATGCAGGTGGGGGCTGGCCTGAATGAGGGGCCCTCAGAGGCAGGCAGAAAGGCTGACTGGGCAGTGGATAGGGGCCTGGCCATGGCCCTGCTCATGGCCCATCTCTGCTTCCCTGCCTGGGCTGGCAGCTTCTGGCGTGGCTTGCTGGTTGGAGAGGGGGCAGGGGCACCTTGCTAGCTACATCCAGGCTTTGATGGCAGGCAGGGTGAGGAAGGCGTTCTCAACCCCAGGGCTGGGAGATTAACTTGGCAAAAGTGGGTGGAGGGGAAGCTGGGGCCTGCACAGGGGCACTGAAAGGGTCTCAGGCTGCAAACAGCAACCCTGGTGGGCCACCAACCATGAAGAGAGGGATCCAGAGGTGCCAGGAGAGTCCTCCAGCCACAGCCACCACACAGGACTCGGCAGGGGAAGAAGGGAATAGGGGTGGGCTGGCCGCCCCACTGGATGCAGTGGGCACTGAATTGACCTTGGTACCTGGGCCACCAATAAACATTTATCTCAGCATGCAGGTGTCAGCTCTCTATCTTTACAAAGGTTGGGGCCAGCGAGCTATTCAATGGCCCTCAGAAGGAATAAGAGGGCAAAACCTAGGTCCTGTCCCCTTTATAAAACCAGTGCACCAACACATGGGGAGCCCTGCACCTGGGGCCTCTGTCCTGTTTGCTTCCTCTAGTAGTGGTCAGGTTGCCATTCCTTCCCAACAAGCCCCAGTACACATGGCGGAAATTCTGAGGGGAGCTTTGAGTTTCCCATGAGCAGTGGCTAGGCTGGCCTGAACCTGGAGAGATGGAGAGTTTCGGGACAGTGTGAGATAAGGGACAAGTCTCACCAGGGTCTGGAAGACCAGCCTGGGATACAGCCACCTGAGACCAGGCCTTCAGGCCTCAGGGCCTAGCCTTGAAGCCAGAGTAGTGGACAAGCAGACCCTGTCCACTCTGCCACATTCCCAGAATGGCACATTTCACATACAATGTGCTGTGGACTTACCAAAATGTGTGGCCTAGGGTGCTGATCCTTCATCCAAAAACACCTTCTCATACTTCCCGTGGCCAGTGGCCACAAACTTGTACCTCTTCCCGGATGGGGTGCTCTGTTGGGGAAAGAGACTAAGAGTCAAGGAGAGAGCCTTGAAGAGGAGAAGCTGCTGCCTCTGGGAAGCCCTCTCAGCTAAAAGGGTCCCTCTTGGCCACCTCCAGCCTGCACCAATTACACCAAGACCCACCTTGACTGTAGATGATGTCTTAGAGTCTCCTTTCTTCTCCCAGAGGCTCTTCTTGCTCAGGTCTCCAGCGACAATATCCTGGGGGCAAAAGAAGGAGCTGTCATAGAGCTGGAAGCCTTGGATCCTTCTCTTTTGCCTGGCCTTCCCTGACCAGGGTCTAAGGATCTGCCCACTTTGCCTCTGAGAGTGAGACCCTGGAAGCAGAGGCGGAAAAGAAGAGAAGGCACCATGTACTGTCACTGGCCAACACAGACTTCACACAGCCCTTCAAAACGACCCCTCCATACATCCCAGTATGGATGTCCACCCATGCTTCATCCTGAATGATCTACCACTCGCTTTCTCAAGGGAACGTCCCAAGCTTTGATTACCCAGGCCAGCCCTGTCCAAGGGAAGATCTTACCTTGCAGGAGGGGGTCTTGCTAGCAGACTGAGTCTGCACCTCACCAGTCTCCCACCGACTCTTGGTATTGGCTACAGCCATGCTGGGCAGCTCTATGGAGGCCTGCCGGGATAGCTTAGGGGTCCAGCCTGCAGACTGCAGAAGAGAAAGAGCCCCAGGATAGCTTTAGTCAACAGCCCCCATGAAGCATATCAGAGATCCTGGGGAGCCTCTCTTTATCTTTATTTTTCCCAGGAGAGCTTTCCCAATGCAGGGCTAGAGCCAGGTACTCTGGAAAAATGTGTTTTCCTTCATTCGATGCACTTATGAAATACAGCCTTATTGTGAAAACCACATGTGATGTGAGGGCACACAGCACATGTGGGGTCTGTCTTAATGCCGCATGTGGCATAAGCCTGGGGGACTGGAGGTTAGATGGAGGGCATTAATGAGTTTTGGTGGGTGGAGGAGCATGGAGGAGGGTGTTGGTTGAATTGAGGGGCAGTTTTTGGTTAGAGGCATGTGGGTTTGATGGATAGAAGGACATTGATTGGCTAGAAGAGCACTGGATGGGGTAGAAGAGTGCTTGGTTGAATGGAGAGGTGTGGGTTAGAGGAAGGAGGAATGTTGGGAATAGAGACATTACTTGACGGGACAGACACTCATGAGATGATAGTGTTGGTTCAGTGGAGGAGCAGTGTACCAATGGAGAGGTGTTGGCTGGCTGGATGGTATTGATTGGATGCAGGGAGTGTGGGTTGGTGGAGACATGGTGCATGAATGGAGGAGGGATCTGGCAGAGGGCTCGAGCATATACCTCAATGGCCTGGGTGTACTGTTCCAGCCTCTCGTCAATCTTGGAGATGGGCAATGCCGGCTGGGACTTCTTCACACTGTTACTAGAGAGAAGAAGTGTTGGGCCTCATGTCTCTCTGCCGGGGTCCTTCCAGCCCACCCTGCACCACTCCCAGGGCCCTCCAAGATCTCAGATCTCCACCCACCCCCCCAGTCACTCTCTTCAACCCCCTCATGGAGGATCCTGGAGACCAGACAGACATACCTCTTCTCAATGGAGCGGTTCAGGGACTCTGTCCTATCAGCCAGCTGTGGAGTTGGGCAGAAATGTGGGCCTTGGGCAGCCAAAGTGAGGTGCACACACCATTCCCTAGCAACCCCACCCATTAATCCCACCACCCACTTCCCTGTCAGGAGGATTTTCTGAGTGCTGGCCATGAGCAAGGGGTAGGAGGAAGCAAATAGTGTGTGGAGCAAGAGCCTGGGGAGGCAGAACAGGAGCCTTCGGACTTGACCTACTTTGGCGGTGGGGCTCAGAGGAGGCGAGCGCAGTTCGGTTGTCCCCTCCAAGGCCAAAGGGCTGGGGGTCCTGGGTGGCAGACATTTCTGGTGCTGGGGACACAAAACCCAGTTGACCCAGTGACCCCTCCTTGCAACCCTCCTGCCCCTCCTAGGGTGTGTTGCAGCACACCCTTTCCCCTCCCTGGGCCTCAGGCCCTGTCTGGCCCTGACACGCTCCAGCCCTGGAATTTTCCCGCCAGAGAAATGTCTCCTGATCAGGGAGGAACTTGCCCTGAGGGTCACCAGGCTCACTGCCTCCACCCTCCGAGAATGTGGGCCTGGAAGGGAAAGTCTAGGGCAGGGGGCACTGGGCCAGTCCACAAGCTCCACACTATGGTGCAGGAAGCAAAGACTGACCCAACTCAGGGAGAGCAGTTACCAGGACACCCCGAGGAAAGCGCTCACCTCTTCCTCTGCCTCTCCAGTCTCTGCAGCCCCTAAGTGGTCCTGGATGGGTTCCTCCTCTGGGCCTGGTCCCTTCTGGTCCAGACACAGTCCCTCCAGGTGGGCTTCTGTGTGGCAAAATCTGCCACCTTCATTATCATTTTCACAGGGACACTGGCAGGGCCTACTGGGTAGAAAGGGAGGCAAAGCCAATTGGGAGCCATGTGATTGCTTGGTTCCAGTCTCTTCCTAGTTCCAAGCCTCAGTCTCCCCATCTGTAAAATAGGGGCATCAGACGGTTGAATTCTGAGGACTTCTGAGACCCCAGTTTCTTTGGGGAAGGAAGCCCAGCAATCTCACAAGCACCTGGGTTTCCTAAAGCCTCTGTGTCGAGGCCCAGGGGCTCATTTGAGAACAGCAGCCCTGCATGTTTCCTGCCGTGCAGTGCTACCCTGGCCCTGAGGCAGGCCTCTCCTGGAAGCCCCCTGTCCAGGCAGGGCCAGCTTCAAAGGGGCTGTGCATGACCTCCCCACCAGCCTGGGCTTCCTGGGCTGCCCTACTCTAGCTGTAGGCAAGCGGATCAGGGAGGCAGGATGTTGAGAGGGGGGAGGTGGGGTGCAGGAGTGTTTTGGGGGGGCTGGGTCAGCTAGGGGAGGCACACATCACTGAGGAGAGGGGCCACCGGGAGGCGAGGCAGCCAGCTGGCAGCTGGGCGTGGCTCTGCACTTGAGCAGGACTGAACCTGGAGAAGAAGATGGTAAATTCGTGCATTTTCCATGATTTCAGGCCCCTTGGCAGACCTGCCAGCCAAGACCCAGACCCACCGACCAAGGTGGGCCAGGTCCCAGCCAGCAGCAGCCACACAGAGGGGCCATTCAGGAGTTGGCTGTCTGCGAGCAGACAGTCAGGTGCGGGGGTGGGGTGGGAGTACAGGGGCTCAGAGATCCACAGTAGAGCAAAAGTGCCCCCTGCTGTTGGGCGAGAGAAGGCATCGAGCCAGCAGGCAAGGCTACAGCTGCCCCGTCTCAGAGACAGCTTGTGCAGGGCCACAGGGTGGGGGGAGTGGGAACTGAGGCCGGCAATGGGCAGGCCAGAGTCAGGGCCAGGATAGGCAGATGGCTCTTGAGGTGTGGGAGCCTGGTTGTAGAGTGAAAATGAGGTGGCCATGACATGGGAGAGGGCTGAACCAGAGACTCAGCTGATCTAAGGGCCTCAGAGGGGCCCAGTCAGGGAGTATAGGCAGCCCCCCAAGCTTGGAGCTCCTAAGCAGGACTGGGGACCCATATCCCAGGCCTGATGGGGGAGGATGGGGTTGTCTTCACACGTGGCCCACAAGTTACTAAGAGCAGCTCAGACTCTGAGGGCGAGGTGGGGGAGGGCAAGGTGAGGCTCAGGAGCAGCCCCCATCCACAGACCCCAGGGTTTCTCTGGGCCCCCACCCATCCTGACTCAGACAGGCACACACGTCCACACATCTGGAAAGTGTGCCCCCCCCCCGCAGCCTCGAAAGCACACATCTGGAAATACCTGCTCCCCTTCGTGGGAATGGAGATCAGCCAGCCCCCAGGGAGGGGGGTGCGGGCTGCATAGCCTGCATTACGTCAGTGGGCTGCAGCTGCGTGCTGATGTGGCAACCCCCCCCCCATCCCCGCCGGCCGCAGCTGGTCTGGATGGGGCCCAGGGGCCCTAGGGAGCCCAGGAATGAAATTTCCTCACCGCCCCCTCCCTGCAGCCCCTCGTAGGCCTCTCTGCCGTCTCACTCCCTTCCTCCCTTCTCCCCCTTTTGCAGCCTTGAAGCTTTTAGGGGGGCTGGTTGAGAAGGGAGAGCAGAGGCTGCTACTAGGACACAGGTAGGGTCTCAGAGAGCATGGAAGCCCTGCCCAGCAGCCCAACCTCCAGGCCTTGACCCCCACTTGCCTGTCCTCCTCTTGCTCCCCCTCTGGACACGTGCCCCAAGGGGGTTTGCAGCTGTCCACAGACCCCTCAGTCCCCCAGAACTGCTGCTGGTGCTGCTCTGGCTTCTGTGACCAGTCACCAAAGCCCTCATCTTCATCCAGTTCAGGGGTCTCTGAGGGCTTCAGGCTGAGGGTGAAAGAGCAGTGGAGGGCCTTAGGGCTGAGCCTTCGCAGGCTTCAGCCCTCACCGCATACCCCCTCCCTCGTCTTCCCCCTCAGACCCTGGGCTCCTGCCTCACAAATAGCTCCCCATAGCTAAACTGTGTCTTCCCTGTAGTCAGAAAATCCCTGAGACCAAGGCTGTGCTTCACCCACCAGTCTGGGGCTCCCAGAGGACAGGGCTATGCCTCTCCCTGGAGTCTAGGGCTTCCAGAGGCTCCCCCAACCCCAGGCTTATTTGGAGTGGCTTTTCACAGGCCTTCCTGAGCAGCAGGGTAGGCTACTCAGTAGCAGGGGCTAGGAAGAGCTCCCAGGCTCAGCAGTGACAAAGGACTCGGCCAAGGGGCCGTGACCGCTGTAGCACCTCACCCCACCCAAATATGCTGACTCGGAGAAAATGGAACAAAACAGGGCCAGGAGGAAGGGGAGCATTATTGGAAAAACAGCCCAGCCCAGAAGAGGGGGCCTCCTGGGCCCAGGAAGGAAACAAACTGGCCAGTGGCCGCCAACTTGGACGTGGCCTCTGTGAGTCACCGGCAGCAGGGAGCTTGGGCGGGGGTCAGGGGCCAGGGCTTCGTGGCTGGTGTCAGCATCAGTCCAAGCAAGGGCTGGGACCAGGCAGGGTGTCCAGAACCTGAGTCAGAGCCCCCAAGAGGTTGATGGGAGGGGACTACTTCACGTAGCGCTGTGGACCCTCTGGCCAGTCAGGGGTCCAGAAGACAGGGTCGCCCGAGGCTGCTGACTACCCTTGTCCTAAGACCACTGCCCTTTCTGAGATTCTTCTTGTACCGGGACCCCAAAGTCCAGGGTCTGACCACCAGCACATTCCTCTGCACAGGCTGCAGGACTTCGATCCAGGGCCCTGGGTGGCTTACAGTGCCTCCTGCTCTGGCTGCCCCGGGGAATGGCCACTTTCATCCTGGTCTTGGGCCTGCAGTTGCCTGTCTCGTTCCCGCCGGCGCCGCTCCCGGGCCACTTCTTTTTCATCCTCTACACTCCACTGGGTGGTGAGCCTGGGGAATAGAAAAACAGTCATACCATGGCCAAGACAGGCTGCCACATGGTGAAGGTAGTGGATAAGCCCAGGCTCTGGACCAGTGTTCTAAGCTTCAGTTTACCAATCTTTGAAACAGAGGTCATACAAAGCAGCCATAAAGGTGTCTCTGGCCCAGGTGGAGGACCCAGGATTCTCCTGGGGATGGAGGGGCACTGGAGACCATCTGTCTACTTCCACCAGCCTGTCCTTGGACCTTGCCAGAGGCAGGATCTAGAACAGTGTGGCTTTGGCTCCAGGGGGCATCTAGGAAGGTAGGTGAACTCCAGGGAGTGTTGGCCATAGCCACCTGAGGCCACGAGCCTTGGCCAGCAGCACTGACAAATACTATCTAGGGTCAGCCCCACCCTACCAGACTGAGGTACACCATCCCGTACTGTGAGGAAGTGACCCTTGTCCAGGGTTCAAGGGTGAGACGGGCCTGTGCCTAGCCAGCCAGGCAGGGCACCCCTTGTTCCACCTCCAGTCCTCATCCTATCCCCACCTTGTACATGTCCAGCCCATTGCTTGGGGCTTTGCATGGTATCCCAACTTCATCTCAGGGCCCTCTGTGGAGCCTCAGAACTATTCCCCAAGGTGAGGAAACTGAGTTGGGGACAGCTGCTGCCCTCAGAGCACCAGACTTCTAGGGGCAGCCAGGGGAAGACAGAATGGCCTGGGCCTGGAATCAGGGGCCCCTGACCAGCAGATCTCTGGTCATTGGTGTCCAGCAGACACTATAGGCTTTGGCCATCCTGCCCCCCACCCCGACACATACACAGTTTGCCTGGAGCTGAAAAGGAGAGTCCAGGGTCTCTGGTTCACCAGGACTCATTGCCCCAGACTCAGGGAGCCAGGCTAGAGCTGGTATGGGGCTGGGTTTCCCTGCTGGGGTCTCCATCCTTCCTGCCAGTGTCCGCTTCATGACCCCATGGCCCACTCCCCTCTGGGCCTCAGTCCCCTGGCCAGGCAGCCTTGCCAGCACATGATCTAATCTCTTCAGGTCTCCCCTAAGCCTCTCAGACGAAAGCCAGGCCTCTCTACAGGCTCCAGTGCGGGGCCTGCTCCCCCCGCTGCAGCCACATGGGACTCCAGCCGCAACCTGGCCACCCGCTCATGCTCTGCACCCCAAGCCGCCTGCTTCTTCCTCAGAAGGGCCTTCAACTGCCAGCCCCAGGAAGCCCTTAATTCCCCACACCTGGCTCCCATCACCCAGCAGATGCAGCCAGCCTCACAGCTCCACAGCCAATAGGGGCTGCTGGACATATTCATCTGGGAGCTGTTGGCTGAAAGCTATGGCTCAGGTCCCTCTCCTGTGCCCATGCATGCCAGCATCCCCCAAATTGGATGATGGGAGCACAGCAGGATGGGCGGGAGGTGCTCCTGCCACTACTGGGGCAACCTCTGGGGAGTGACCAGTGGGGCATGGGCTTTGTTCCCACTTCCACGTTTCTGGGCAGCACAGGCAGGCTTGGGTGTACATATGTATGTGGCAGTTCTTGGTGCGTGTGTGTGTGTGTGTGTGTGTGTGTGTGTGTTTGTGTTTGCCCAGGTGGGTATGTAAATCTGGGCCTGAGGCATCGAATTGTGCCTTAACTCCCCCTTTGGGCTGGCCCAGGGCCGGCCCAGGGCCTTCTATGTGGCACCTCTCTCTACATGGGGCCAGGGCCCTCCTCCTCTCCTTAGACTGCTCCATTAGGCCCAGGGGGCCACCAAAAGCAAAACGTGTGCAAGTCTCCGGGGACCCCCTCAGAAGCAGTGACACACAAATCATAGGGCACACAGAAATGCAGCTAGCTCACACCTGAGCAGGGCAGACAAGCACACACGTGTTCTTCAGGTGCCCATGTGGGCACCCCCCCGCACACACGTGCACACACACAGACAGCACTGAGCAAGTGTAGACAGACCCCGGGGATAGGAGATCACAAAGTGGCAGGTCCTGGCCCCCTCCTAGATTCCTCTAGGTGCCCCTGCCTCACTATTTACTGTTTTCTTCCACATCACCCAGACAACAGTGGAGCTGGGCTTGGCAGGAGGCCACGGTGTGTTTCCTGGGAACATCTCACAGAGCGGGGCCCTCTGAAGGTCATCCCCACCTAGCCTTCCCTGGACAGAATGGGGCTCAGGGTAGGCCTCTCCCAGTGTCTCCCTCAAGCCCCAGGCTGGGAAGAAGCCCCTCTGCCCCCCAGCTCCTGACCCTGCAAGTGAGGACAAGAGGCCCCTGGGCCCCTTCCCCTGCCTCCTCTCTTCCCGCCTGCCCCAGGATGTGAGTAATGCGCCCCCTCCCCATGACCTCACCCCCTCACTATTCCACAGCTGGGCTCCGTTCTGGGAACTGAAAGGGGGCGTCTCTCCTGGGGTGGGGTGGGGGCCTCTGGCCTGGGAAAGGCGCCCCCCGGCCAGCAGCCCAGACCCCTTGGCACGCTCCGCAGGGCTGTCAGGGCTCTGGCGATGGCCGCCCCGCCCGTGGCCCTGGCCCAGCTGAGTACAGCTGCGAGGGATTTGGTGTTCCTGTGCAAATGCAATCAGGCCATTTCCTGTCTGTTCTGGCTCTGTGGCCTGGGGCTCAGCCTGAGGGGCCAGGATGTGGGGCCCTGTCCCCCTGCACCCACAACATCCCAGGGTCTGAGCGGAGGAGGTGCTTGGTCCTCACCCAGGTGCAGCAGTGTATGCAGACCCCAGGCTGCTCCTTATTCTGAGCTGGTCTCCCAGAGCTCAGGGTGGTCCCTGTGGCCATGTCTACCGCCTGCCACTTCCCACTGGGGACACCAGTCCCTCTTCTCTCTCCTCTGCTGCTCCCCCCAACCCAGCTCTCCGTCCCCTCCAGAGTCCAAGGGTGCCCATTTTAGGTCCAGCCCTTTCAGCTGCCCACCCTTTTTGTCCTTCCACAGAGAGTTCCAGAAGGGGCTCAGGCCTCCATCCCTGTCCCAACTCTGCCCCCTACAGGCAGCTCGTTTGCTGACCAGTCCAGCCATCTCCAAAAGGTCAGCTGCAGGGTTTGCTCCCAGTCCTGGGGAGAGCTCAGGGTTTGGCTGGGGGCAGCAACCAAAGCAAGGAGGTAAGTGTGTATGGGGAGTGCCTTCTTCAGGCTGCCTGTAGGGAACCCTCCCTACTCTAAGTCAGCTGGACACCACAGGGCTGGAGGTGATCAGGAAGCCTTTGGCTTTCTGAGACCACCAAAGATTCTGTTGCTTTCATGAGCGCAGCCCACTGAGATCTCATATGCTGGGCTAGGATGCTTGTGGTCCTGCAAGAGACCACAGAACCCTTAGGAGAAGAGACAGAGCAAGGAGAGGCAATGAGCCTATGTAGAGGCCTTCCTGGCACCGGCTCAAGGACATTCACAAGCAGGGAGCAAAGAGAAGAGCCTGTCTGGGAGACCAGGGAGAAGGTAGCTGCAGCAGGCCAGCACCTGCATCCCACAACAGAGGATGCCACTCATGAACCCTTTGACAAGCTCTGTGATTTCAAAGCTGGGGTCCCATCCCTGGAGCAGGCCAAGACAGGTTGCAGGTATGGCCTGCCCAGCTGTCCCTCTCCCCCAGGAGGCAGAGGTACACGTAAGCCACAAACAGTTCCAGGCCAGCAGGTGAGCACTGGGAGAGGTGGGCAGGAGGGCTGGGGTAAGGGCACAAGAACCTGCCCCATACCATGTCCTAGGATGGCCCCCCGTGTCACCTTCCCTGGTGTGTCTATTTTCTCCTAGATGTGGGGGGAGGGGGGTAACCCCTTTCCTGTCATCATGGGCTGGTAAGTGAGGGGGACACCTCACAGGGCAAGAGCCTGGCCCCACTGTCCAGGGAAGTCCCATGATGAGCTGCTTGTAGCAGGGAGATGACTGTGAATTTGAGCAAGTGTCCTCAGGCCAGAGAGAAAGGAGGGGTAGGGCAAAGTCAACGAGGCCACAGAACATGCAGAGCCAGAAGTACTGTCCCCAAGGTGCACATAGGCAGCTTGGGAAGGAGCAGATCCAACCAGAATTGCATCCTATTAGGAAGCCCTGGGTGTGTTGGGGAGGGCCAGTGAGGCTGGACGTAGGGGGAAGATTTAAACAAGAGGGACTGGGAGGGAGAAGCTGAAGGCTGGGCTGGGCTGGGAAGAGGGACAGGGCAGCAGCCTCTAGAACTGCCACAGTATCTGTTCTGTGGGAGGTGGAACTCAGGTTGCTCAGTGTGGAGAGACACTGAGTAAAGCCTAGCATGCAGCACGGGGCAAGAGACCTTTCTGGTGGCTGCCGCAGGTCCCACCAGGTCTAGGGTGGGCAGCCTTGGAAGGACCCTGGCAGCAGCAACCTGAGCTGGTCCACGTTGACCGAGAGGAGCTAAGCTCTCCCCTGGGAGAGCTCAGGGATACCACACCCTCCTGGCCCAGGCATAGCCCCTCAGGTCTCCCACAGGTCCCAACAAGGATGGGCAGCTTGTTCATCCAGGTGGGAAGAAGAGCTCAGGAGTCAGATGGTTCAGGTTCCTGACTACTTCCCCCCAGTCCCTGGAAGCCTGGACCATCAGCAGCCTCCTGGGCCTCAGTGTCCCCAGCTATAAGGACCACAGGAGCTAATGTATGCCAAGTGGTCAGCCCAGCTACTGTGCAATGAACGTACATGGTCAAGTCGTTCCATGACTTCCTTAGGGCTATTCCTGGAAGGGATGGCCCTGAAGGGCCATGACATCCAGGGCTAAGGGGCAGGCCTTGGGAAGGTCACGAAGTTATGAGCCCCTAAGCTGGAGGCTATGGGAACCACAGAAGGTTCTGAGCAGGGAGAAGAGAGGCACAGAAGATATAGAGCCAGGAGTCTCTGGCTGGCTTGTGGAGGGCAGATGGGAGGGGAGAAGGGAATGGGGAACCTGCTGCCATTCTTGGAGTGATCTGGGATGAGGCCCTAGGGGAATGGGCTGCTGAGTGGAGAAAACTGCAGTCCAACTGGACTCCCAGTGGCCCCTGTTCCGGGGAAGAGAGGGACAGGCCAGCGGGTAGAAGAGGTGAAGAAAGTCAGAATGGGAGGATGGAGTAGGACCACTCACCCTGGCAAGACAGGAGGGAGCCCTGTCCATAGCTGGCTGGGGATAGGCAGTGCTGAGGCTCCTATCTCCACTTCTCTTGCTGGTGTCAAGACCCCAGATCTCTGGGGCCACTGTGCCACACCGGGACAGGGCCCAGCCAAGGTTCCCCACCCCCCACCCTCCCCTTGGTCCTTTTTGGCCCTGGTGGGCAGTCCCATCTGGGAACCTGCCTGGACATCTGCCTGCAAAGCATGGGGAACCCGCTGACACTCCAAAGGGTGCCAAAAGGGATGGAGCATGGAGAGTCAGCAGGGAAGGCCACCTCCACCCTGCAACATGCTCCCCATATTTTGACCTTCTGGTCCATGCAAGGTTGTGACCCAGGATTCCTAGAGACAGCCCCAGAGAGGAGGCTGTAAGGAATTCTGCAGGAATCTGGGATTCTGGCTTCTTCTCTCAGCCCAGTAGGAGGCGCTGTGCACCCTGGGCAAACAACAGTCCTGCTTTGAGCCCTTCGGATGGCAAAAGCTTTCTGGTAAAAAGGCCAGACATCCCATAGGCCTTTGTCTCCTGCGAGGCACTAGTGGTGGAGAGCAGCCCCCCCCCCCAGCATTTTGCGGCCTTTACAGCCTGTGTGGTCCCCACAGGAATCTTCTCCCTGTTGGGGGCCTCTCACTGCCTCCACCCAGAACTGCCAGGCCAAGGAAGCTCAGCCCGCTCCGCAGTCTTCCCTGCTGGCTACTGCCTAGAGCTCAGGGACAACTGGCCCTGCCAAGGTCTGCTACCTCCCTCCCCCATGGGCTCAGGAACTGTTCGGCCACCAGCAACCCTCCTGCCCACCGGCCTCTCCCCAGCCTTTGCCCCACCTGACCTTCCTCAGAACATTGGCTCCGGTGTCCTCTGCGCTGGCTCCAGATCCAGCCCATCCCTGGGTCCCTCGGCTGCCACACTCAGCTCTCATCCCACTGGGCAGCTTCCCCACCCATTTTATAGCTGTGGAGTCGAGTCCAGAAGAGGAAGGCCAGGCCTGGGGTCTTACCACCAACAAGAGGAGTCAGCAACAGGAGCCTCAGCGGTCCCCTCAGGATACTGCCTGCTCCACAGGTCCACACCAGCCACTGCCACGACTGCATCTGGCTCCCCTTCCCACCCTACAGTGAGCTGCCACACCATTCCTCCTTCTCACAAACTGCTCCAGAGCCTTCCTCCCTTTTTCTCTTTCCTTCTCCAATACTTCCTTTTTTATGATGCCAGGGACCTTCAAAACACCCTGAATTTCCCCCAGCCCTCAGGAATCTTAGAGGCCAAGTGCAGCCCTGACCCATGATGCACCTCGGAACATAGAGGATACTCCTTGTCCAAGCCTCTGGGAAGTGCGGTTGGCATGACGTGTCCTCAGGGACAGTGCCTGAGATAGGCTGCCTGGGGTTGTGGTGATGGAGAGAAGCTGCTCCAGAATGGGAGAGCAAGTGGATGCACAGAGATCTGGGAGACATCTACGGGGTCATGGTTTTAGGGAGCCGGAGAGCAGGGCCAGCGGACAGGGAGGGCACCCCAGAGCCTGTCCTGGCTCCAGTCCTCCCGGAGCCCAGAGGCACAGCCCCTACTCCCTATGATCCTGGCCCTGAGCCTGGGAGCCTGCAGTCTCGGGCTGCCCCCGCCTTCCTACCTCTGGGGTTTGGGGGAAAGCGTCCGCCCCCCTGGGTCCCCAACCTCCTGCATCCCACACACACCTAGTCCCAAACCTGCCTCTACCCCCACCAAAACTGAGGCTGTCCACCCACTCCCTTGCTGCCTGCCACCTGCCCACTGCCTTTCTAGAACTTGATGCTCACTCAGGAGAGACAGGCTGAGGAGGGTCCTTCCCTTGATGGCCACTGCTCCCAATCCCTGTGATGGTTGCACCCCGGGAGTTGTCAGAGCAACCACTTCAGGACCACACTGCCTGCTCCTTGGGAGCCCAGCTGAGTGCCAGGCAGATAACCACAGCCCAGGCCTGCCCACCACACCAACCAAGCCACTGGGCAACCCCTCACTCTGTCCAAAGGCCCTTGGGAAAGGTCCTGACCCATGAGCAAATACTCTACATTTAGGACAGATAGACCCCGAATAGCTTCCTCATAGGAGCTTACAGGTGGTCTCTCTAGGACCCTGAGGACTCAATGAGACTGGAAGTGGAGATGCTCTCATACCCCATGCACTAGCCTGTCTATCCCACACTTCTCTCAGAGGGTGAGCCAGGGTCTGTCCACTCTGCCCTCAAAGTGGAGACCAGAACTAAGCTGTATTTCCCACTGGCCAGCCCAGCACCTCCCTTGGTCAGAGTGCCCTACCTCTTAGGATGTGCTCCGTAGTTAGTCTGGCGCCGGCAGCCTCCTTGCCTTGGTACTGTGGCTTTTCTACATCTTGGCCCCATCTGCTCAACCAGGCCTGACCCTTGGGGCCTAGGCTTGGAAGTCAGAGCCTCACCCTCCTCCCAATCCGTCCTTCCGGTTGGATCCCATGCGACTTCAGCTCCTGTTGGCCCTGGGCTAGCACTCTCTCCCACGGCTCGTTCTGCACACTACGTCTGTGAGGCTTTCTGCTGTCCATGTCACTGACCACAACGCTGCAGGGGCTGGGCCAAGTGCACAGCAGCCCTGGAGACCTTCTCGGCTCCTTCTCCCTGCCATCAGCAAACTCCGGTCTTGTTCACGCCTGCCAACCTCCCAGGGGAGGAGGTGAAGGGTCTCAATGCCGTCTCCTTTCTACACTGGATGGTGCTCAGTGGAGCCTGTGACTCTGGTGGCAGGCTGCCCTGGTAGAGCACTCGCAGTGCTCACGAGGCAAGGCTTGGCACACTCCCTGGCACGAGACTGTGGCTGGCACCAGCCTGGGCTCTGCCATCCCTCCTCTTCCCTCTCTGGCCAGCATGGCCAGATCCACCTCTTCCTGAAGGCCCACTCAGCTCACAGCCGTGCCCACAGAAGCTTCCCAGACACCTCCCATCCCCTACACGGTCTAGCCAGGCTGTTCCTGGAGTAGGAACAGGCGGCGAGTCAGCCCAGCTCCGCCAGTGCCTGCTCCTGGCCCTGCCCCTAGGGCACCTCAACATTCCTGCTCCAGCCTCACTGTGTCTGCCTGCTGGAGCCCTGGGGTCCCTACCTGGCCCTTGACTTCCTATGAGCTCTCGGGGTGCCCTACCACTCTGTATTGGATGACTCATGGGACACTGAGAGGCCCAGGCCCAAGGCAGCCCCTCATCAGCCTCCAGTGTGAAGCTTCTCAGCCCTATGCCACAAGGCTGCAGACCCCTTCCTGCCCTGGGGCAATGGGTGAGCCTTTCCTCCTCCCTGATCCTCAGTTTCTACTCCGCACAAATGGAGGACCAAGGGCCAGTCTCAGAGGGCCATGGGAGATTACATCCCTCTGGACATTACAGCAGTTGAAGGTGGCTCTGACAACCTGCTCTGGTCCTTTGACCTGAGACTTGGCCAAGACCAAGGGCTGGATCAGAAGAGCCTTGTTTAATGGGACAAAGTAGGCACTGACCAGCAGCCCAGATCCCCCCTGCATGCCCATGATGGGCAAGCTGTAGACCAGAGGGCCAGTGTCCCTGGAGGACTAGGCGGGTCAGTGGCATGATGAGGTTGGCCCCTCAGCCCCTGAGGACCCGGTTTGGGGAAACCAGGCTGTGGCAGGGCGGAAAAGCTTCCCCTCAACGTGGGAGTCCTGAGTAGGAGGCTCCTACTCAGGAGGCCCAGTCCAGGCGCACCAGCCCCCCTCTCATCTGGTGAGAACCAGCCTCTGCTTCCCTCCTCCCTTCCTCCTCCCCGCCACTGCCATCCTTCTCTTGTGGGCTCCGTGCCACTCTCCACCAAGCCCGTTCCCTTCCCTTCCTCTCCGTTTTTCTTCCAAGGACTAAGAGCAGGGCCAGCCAATGCCAATACCCACCCTACTCCACCTTTTTGGGCCTTGGTTTCGATCTGCCAAGGGGGGACAACAGAAGACCTTCCTGCTTAGTGATGGTGGCACCAGGGATCCCACTCACCCCCCTCCTCCGGCACCATGGCCTGCCCCTTCTACCATTTCCCCAGATTCCTCCTTCTGCCTGTACCCTGCTAGCCCTCTGCCCCTTACCCTACCACCTTGGGCATCTTACCCTCTCATTTCTTTCTACTTTCCCTTCTTTTTTCCTTGCCCACCTAGTAGGGCGCATCCTTAGGAGGAGTGCTCATACCCCTGGAGCCCCTGGCACCCTGGCTCCTGGGCACCAGCATCTCCAGCCTGGGTACCTTCTTGAGCATCAGCCGAACTCATAGCCACACTGTCACCTCCCAGAGCAGCATCATATACATCAGTCCCACCAGGAGAGGCCTAGGGTCTGACCTCATTCAGCACCCAGCTGGGGATTGAGCACCACCCCTTCTTCCCTACCTCCAACCCAGGACCATAGAAGATTCCAGCTCCCAAGCCCTCCCCCAACCCCTGGCAGCCCCTGTGCCCACCTGCCCTCTGGAGACCTTCATAGTCAGCCTCCAGCCGAGGTCCTCTACCGAGCCACTCTGAGACTGATGAAATGTCCCTGGGGGCAGCACCCCTCCAGCCATGCCAGTCCTCAGGGTGCCCCCTCTGGGGTCTGGAAGCAGCTTTGGGTAGGCAAGTCCCTGGGTCCCCAGTGCTCCCTGGTTGCTGCTTGCTGCCCGACTCCCCAGCTCTGATCTGCTGGCTGGAACTGGAGCCGGAACCTCCATCCTCTGGGCTCTGGCCCTGACACCCTGCCCAGGGGGCTGGGCCACTCGGTCCCTGTACCCCTGTTGCTGGCTCAGTTAGGCTCCTGGCAGGACATGCTCCAGCCAACAGACTCCTGAGCCTGTAACATGCTGCCCACCAAATGCCCAGCTTTGCCGGGGGGGGGCACCCCACCCCCAGGATCGCAGGCCTGGATGGGCCTGGTGGCCCCGCCCCCTTGGACACTGTGGCCTGGCGGCCTACTTTCCCCACCCCTAGGGGCCAGCCCAACAGGCCATCATCCTCATCCCCTGCCCCGCTGGCTGCACTGGGGTCCCCAGAGTCCCTTGAGCTAGGTTCCCAGGGTGGATGCCTGCCTGAGGGCCTTAGAGCCATGAATGCAGGCTGTGTGTCTGGGATGACGTGTGCCTGGGATCAACAGGGCAGAGGGCTCCTGCCACCCAGTGAGCCTCTGCTAGGGGGTGGCAACAGGGCTGAAGGCCAAGAGCCACACAGAAATGCCAGCCAGGGTGACTGCAGCTCAGCCTCTTGGCTCAGTGCCAACTACAAGGTGTTTCAGCCAGCTTACTGCCTTCACAAAGCCAGCTCTCTGGAGGCCACAGGACCAGGAGGGTGGCCGAGAGTCCAGGTGATCTCTGGGAGGGGGAGGTCATCATGGGGTCTCTGGATCACCCTTAACCCTGGCTGGCCTAAGGGGCACCTGAACGGGCCTGACTCACCCAGGGGCAAACAGGAGGGTTATGGGGTGAGGCAGATGCCACACCTGGAAGGGCAGGAGCTTGGCACCTAGCAGGAGTGCCAGTCCCTGGGTCTACCCTGCCAGCCTAAAGCCTGTGCCTGCAAGAGGTTGAGAAGTCCTCCCTGGTGGCTCCATGCCGAGCTACTGCTCACACCAGATTTAGACAGGGTGAGTGGGTAGGCAGAAGACACGTTTTTCCACTGGGCCATAGCATCCTTTTAACGAGCTTCAACTGGGTTTGATTTACACCTGGTTGCTGGTGGTGCCCAGCAGGCCCTTCTGGAGTGGTCTCAGAAAGGACAGGCAGAGCCCAGCACCCTGGCATGGGAGCAAGTCAGGCTCCCTGGGGGAGAGGTTTGGAGAGAAGAGGTGGTTATGGGAAGCAGCTCACCACTGCCTGCTGGGTGACCTGGGGCAAACTGCTGTTGCTAAACCTCTCTGACCCTGGTTTTTAAATCTGTGTGCTGGGGCTGGGGGAAGTGGAAATCACTGGATGCTGTAGAGATGCAAACTATGGTCATGGAGCTTGGGTAGAGGATGTCACTGTCCCAGGTGGTAGCATGCATGTACGGGTGGGTGTATGTGCGAGTGTGCACCTTTGGCCCAGTGTCAGGGTCCTCGAGGCTATGAGGGTCATCACATGCCCATGAATATCCCCTTGTACTGCTCACTCCCCAACTCACCACCGCACACAAACATGCTTCCCTTGGTCTGTACAGGGCCTCCCCTGCTCCCTGACTCCCTCCCATGATGTTTCCCTGGAGTCAAAGGATCAGTTTCTCTTGCCTCTGCCCACTGCTGGTCAGCCACCTGTCTGCCTCCAGCCTGGTCCAACTGCACCCGAAGGCCTTTGGGTAGCCAAATAGTGGCCTGACATGAAGAACAGGGCACAGCGAAAGCCCCAGCTAACTGATGGTCATGGCCCAGGCATGGGGGTGCAGACACATAGCCAGGCCCATGTGGCTCCTCCCAACACCCAAGGTGCTTTGCTCTTTGCTCCCAGCCCCCAGCTTCCCCATTTGTTAAGGGTCACTGGTGAGTCAGGGGTCTGATGCCAGCAACTCAATATCCAGGCCACAGAGCTTCCCAGAGGACTGGGGTGAGGGGCTGGGGACACATCCTACAGGGCAGGGAGTTGGGAGGTGAGGGCCCTGGGCAGCCTGGAACTGAGCCCTTGAAAAACAAGAAGAAGGGCTCATGGGGCCCAGGGCAAGTGTGACTATAGGGAGCCTACCAGCAGGGCCACCTGGTCCTGGGCTAGGACCATGCCAGGGAGAGGACGTGAAGAAGGCCATCTCTCTACATCTGCATGGACCCAGCAAGCAGGAGCTGGTGCACCCCAGGCCACTCAGACTCTGTTCAGAAGACCCCTATGACCATAAATCTACCCCTAGGCTCACCACAGAGAACTAGGGCTGCAGTGCATGGGAGTGCTGACAGATGCTGGGCCTGAGAGGAGCCAGGAAGAAAGTACACCAGGCTGGCAGAGAAGAATTGGTCTCCCAGCCAGGGAGAACCATGGCAGGCTTCCTGGAGGAGGTGGCATTGCAGTCTGGAAGGTTGAGAAGGAAGAAGGCCAATGCGAGTGGCTCAGATCCACTGACTGGGGACACGTGGCTCTGAGCCCGCCTTGTCTGAGTTCTGACGGGGCTCAGGGCCTTTGGTATCTGTGTTCTCATCATGACTCTGCCAAGTGGGTGCCACTACATCATACTTTCCAGAGGAAGAAACAGGGAGAAAACAGACAAAACTCTGCACTAGCTCAGAGCCAGCAGCCAGCAAGCCAGGATTCCAAGGCCCAAGCGCTCCTCAGGCAACAATGCCTCCCACACGGGGCTGGACACCAAGGGTGGCTGGTGTATATGGCTCTGAGTCCAGTGCCATCTATAAAGCAGGGTGATTGATGGTGCCCTGAGGCCCTGTTCTCTGTCCTGGGTATTGTGTGAAAGCCTTTGAGCAGAGACAGCCATGCAGGTGGGAGGAGGAGAAAAAGGAGGAGGAGGACGCACTGCCAGGGCCCAGGGAGGTGATGGCCTCGTGCTCCAGCGCACGTGCATGTGGCTGGCTTGGTACCGTTGTGACCTGACTCCGGCAGAAGCAAGGCCGGGACAGCCCCACATCCAAAAGCCGAGCTCAGCAGGCCCAGCCGGGGCAGTTGGTGCCTCCGTGCATGGCAGCACTGTGGGTACCCACCCTGGGTCGGGTGGGGGACCTACCTCAGGAGCTGCTCCAGACCCCGTCTGCTAGAATTCCTCCTCAGGAGCATGGAGCCACTCATGCTGCTGGCCGCCAACCGGGAGGCTGGCGACCTGGCCTGACCCCAGCCCTGGGGATGCCGCCTCCTTCAAAAGCTCCTGTCTCACTGCAGCGGCGGCTGCTGCTGCTGCTGCTGCTGCTGCTGCTGCTGCTGCTGCTGCTGTTGCTGCTGCTGCTGCCGCCGCGGCCGCCTTCAGCCCTCCTCCTCTGCTCTCCTTTCTTTTCTTTCCTCTC